TTGGACTTATATGATAATATGGAGTTGATAAAACGATACAAACTTAATTGTAAAGATCAAAAAGTATTTTTTGATAAAATCTTTAACTGATAAAGTAAAAAATGTAATAACCTCTTCCACTCAACAAGTCAATGCTCTAACAGCAGACATGAAAGTAGTAATTCATTTTTTTTGGCTAGAAAATTGGAAAAAGGCCGCAATGCACCGGTGATGACACAGTATATTGTGGCACTAACCCCACCAAACACAACAGTGTTTTGATTTTTTTTTTATGACCCCACGTTTAACTTAAACCGTTAAAATACAAAGGACAAAAAAACACTGACCAGTGTTGCCAACTGCTTTCAATTGAAAGTAGCTAAAACTGGTCACTTAATGTTGCTAGATGACCTCATAAAGGTGAGTTCACTGATCTATATTTATATTTATATTTATATAGATCAGTGAACTCGCCTTTATGACGTCATGAGAGAGTCTCGGAATGTAGATAACGTTTGTCCAAGAAATTGATTTTGTTGCTAGGTTTTTGAAAAAAGTCTCTAAAGGGATGCGGAAGTCACTAAATCTAGTGACAAAATCACTAAATTGGCAACATTGGCACATTGACTACAACATACGTTATTTACATTTCATTGGTCCTCTTGTTTTTGCATGTGTTCATAATGTCTTTGTATGATAGCATGGCCAAAAATTATGACCGCAAAATTTGGCTTGTTTCATTGCATTATTATCACAAATAAAACAACTGGCTAAGCAACCTTTTTTTTTAAATTAAGGATGAAAATATGTCAAATTTCCTAGGCCGGACATCACTTTTGGCCACTACTATATGGCAGTTTATTAAATTTTCAACTGACCGCCAAACCATACTGCAAAAACAACTTTTTGTGAGGATTGTGGGCTTTCCTGGAGTTACTGGAGCCGTTGATGGAACTCATGTTCACATCATTGCTCTAACTGTAAATGAGGAGACATACCATTAAACAAAGCATTAGTAATAATTTGTGATAATTTTGCACAATGCAAAGCATTTGAAAATACATTTAAATTAAAATAATTCAGTCTTAATTCAATGATTTTATTGTAGTTACATTAAATTATTGGTGTTGTGCTGCTGTGACTTTACATGAGCAGGCTCACTATTGGCTGTTTCAGAGGTCGAGGTCAGCCATTTTGTGTTAACATCATTGTAGTCCTTAGTTCACAGCACTTAAGTGTCACCCCAGTCAACACTTAAGAATCAGTCTTAGACTTTACTGAAAGTTGTTTTAGCGTCTTTACAAAAGTCTCCTACTCTTAGAAAAGTCCTACTTTTTACTAAGAATTTTTTGACACTTAAGTCAAGTTCCTACGTGTTAAAAGAGGTCTCAGCTCCTAAATTATTTAAGAGAGCTGGAGAGGTCTCCTAACCTAGTTAGGAGTAATAAGATGGCAGCAAAGAGGAGACGACAAACACTTTCCAGTGAAAATATGTTGGACTTATATGATAATATGGAGTTGATAAAACGATACAAACTTAATTGTAAAGATCAAAAAGTATTTTTTGATAAAATCTTTAACTGATAAAGTAAAAAATGTAATAACCTCTTCCACTCAACAAGTCAATGCTCTAACAGCAGACATGAAAGTAGTAATTCATTTTTTTTGGCTAGAAAATTGGAAAAAGGCCGCAATGCACCGGTGATGACACAGTATATTGTGGCACTAACCCCACCAAACACAACAGTGTTTTGATTTTTTTTTTATGACCCCACGTTTAACTTAAACCGTTAAAATACAAAGGACAAAAAAACACTGACCAGTGTTGCCAACTGCTTTCAATTGAAAGTAGCGTGTTAACATCATTGTAGTCCTTAGTTCACAGCACTTAAGTGTCACCCCAGTCAACACTTAAGAATCAGTCTTAGACTT